ATTCGCGAAAATCCAGATAGTGGACAAACTGGAACATCTCTGGCTTAACAAAGTCGCGATTTTTTTCTCCTCTTTTCCACTCACGTTTACGTCACATTATTGCTTATTGCTTACGTTAACGTGCACGCCTAACAGGTTCGTGGAAAAATTCCTCCTTCAAGATGGAAGTTGATTCCATCGATCGTGATCGTCGTTTGAGACCACTATTATTGCAATTCGATCGATAATTCGATACTTTTCCAACGTTTGGAAATTTTTATCGAGGAAATGGCAGATATGCGGATCTCATCGAATAAAGTATCGTGGTTTTCTTTCTACATTTGGATCGATAAGGATCGAGCTCTGAACAATTTGTCTCTTTTATCTCACTCGATGGTGGTTTGGTGATAAATTAATATAATTGAGAATTTTGGCAATCAGGAATTTTTCCACGAGGCTAGACACGCTTGGCAAAGAAAAATGAAAGTGATCTTGCAACGAGGAAGAATCAGAGTTCGTGATTAATTACATTTATTATGATCGAGCCAATTTTTTTTTTTATTCCCTTTTTTAAACAAATTTCTCGCCTGTTCAATCAAGAAAATCACGAAAAAGAATTTTAAATTTAAATTTCCAAAATTTAAATTGTTAAAAAGATACGAGAATTTGCACGAACATTCACAGCCTTACTTATAACAAACGATTCTTCGCAACTAAATTTCTAAATATGATTTTTATCTCGTGAAATAATTCCAACCTCCTTTGTTCACAAGCAACTCTCGCGTTAATTTTCGAATCTATTCTTTCTTCTTAACCGAGGAGAGAGAAATATTTCGAATATGTTGGATACAACAGACCGAATATAAATCCATCACAGTTACAATATTACACTTTACACGTTTTCGGCCGTTCGTCCATATCGATATTCCCCTCTCCCCCCCCCTCCCCGCGCCCCGCCTCCTCCCCTCCCTCAAATAATCCTTTGGAGAACTTGAAATGGGAGAGTCGAAACTCGTCCAAGGCAATTTATCCCCGAACAAGGTTTTTATCATCCGCGGATCCCGCGTGATCCGATTACATCGTTAATGGTACAGAAAAAGTGCGTAGAATTTATACAAAAATCGATTAAACGTCGACGTCGAAATAAAAATGTTTGAAACGAGCAGCATTGATATTCTGCAAGTGGCGATGAAATAAATTTGAGCGGTGGAACCTCCTCCTTTCCCCCCCCCCTCCCCTCTTCGCTTTTCGAAATTGCCTCCATCGTTTCACGTTGCTTCCCTCCCCTCCCCCCCCACGATGGAAGTTAATTGAATCGTCGAAATAGTGATGGCCCCGAAATACCAGAAATATTTGTATTAAATTTATCATCCGGCCGCGCGACGTTTCTGTTTAGCCATGCAGAATATATGTATATATATATATATATATATATATATATATATATATTATGTATGAATGTATGTATGTATGTATAGCGAATCTCTGTACCGAGAATAGTATTCGAGAGTTAATACGCGACTCGAAACACGAAATAATATTATATTATCCCCGTCGAATAAATTATTCGATGTAACACGTGGCGATTTTTTTTCAAGAAAATTTTTTTCTCGACGAGAGAACGAAATTCACGAATACACTCTGATTCTTCTCGTCTCGCGTTCAACTCTTCGGCGCATCAGATACGTGGCAATCCTACTGCGGATTGTACCGCGTTGAATTCACTTCGTCAACACTCTTTTCTCTTTGACACTTGCGATTGTATCGCGTCGCCGGTGTCGGGTTTCGCTCTCAACCTTGAGGATCGTTTTGGTACAGTGGTTCTCAATCCGTGAATCGCGGCTTCTTTGAAAGTTAGGTTAGGTCGGGGGTTTTGGTTTAATTATGTACGATTGTACAATTGTTGGGATGAAAATTTTGGTAAAAATTGCAGATTCATTATGTTCTTGTGGTTGTTAAAAATTAGAGCTCCAGATGACGATTAAGCACTGTATTATATACTTTGATTTTTCTCACATTGAATATGAACGTATGAAAAAATTTTTTGGAGGAAAAATTAATTTATTGATTGAAAAGGAAAAGATATTTTGAAAGATCAGTATTTTGATCTAATTAATATCCAATATTTAAATTTTAATAAAACTTTCACGACACTTGAGATACACGTCAGTTGAGAAACACTGTTTTATAGGAATATATATATATATATATATATATATATATATATATATATATATGTATGTATGAATGTATGTATGTATGTATAGCGAATCTCTGTACCGAGAATAGTATTCGAGAGTTAATACGCGACTCGAAACACGAAATAATATTATATTATCCCCGTCGAATAAATTATTCGATGTAACACGTGGCGATTTTTTTTCAAGAAAATTTTTTTCTCGACGAGAGAACGAAATTCACGAATACACTCTGATTCTTCTCGTCTCGCGTTCAACTCTTCGGCGCATCAGATACGTGGCAATCCTACTGCGGATTGTACCGCGTTGAATTCACTTCGTCAACACTCTTTTCTCTTTGACACTTGCGATTGTATCGCGTCGCCGGTGTCGGGTTTCGCTCTCAACCTTGAGGATCGTTTTGGTACAGTGGTTCTCAATCCGTGAATCGCGGCTTCTTTGAAAGTTAGGTTAGGTCGGGGGTTTTGGTTTAATTATGTACGATTGTACAATTGTTGGGATGAAAATTTTGGTAAAAATTGCAGATTCATTATGTTCTTGTGGTTGTTAAAAATTAGAGCTCCAGATGACGATTAAGCACTGTATTATATACTTTGATTTTTCTCACATTGAATATGAACGTATGAAAAAATTTTTTGGAGGAAAAATTAATTTATTGATTGAAAAGGAAAAGATATTTTGAAAGATCAGTATTTTGATCTAATTAATATCCAATATTTAAATTTTAATAAAACTTTCACGACACTTGAGATACACGTCAGTTGAGAAACACTGTTTTATAGGAATATCCGAATGTTTCATTCATTGATTAAATCAAAATTATGTTATGTTTTTAAATTTTTTTTCACTTTGAAAACGGATCTTTTTTCTCGGCAAAACTATTAATAAATCAAAATCATCGATCTTTTCGTCCAAATCTCGAAACATCGTTGAAAAAAACGATAAAACATCTTCCTTTCATTTTGGAAAAATAACGCAAATAATTCAGAAGCTTTGAAACGTGTTTTTCCTGTTTTGGTTAGTTATCGAGATAGCTAGCGGTTATTAGAGCTATTATATAATAGCTACGGTATACATTTAGGTATAACACGGCTAATAACCCTTTGTAGCTATTACATAACAGCTAACAGTGCAATCAAGCTTTAATAGATCTACTAATATTTCGTGTGGTAATTGAATTCTGCCTGGGGCTTTTTCCACTGGACGCAAAACCTGTTTGGCAGACAGAGAATCTTCCATTGTACAACATAGTACTTTCAAAAAAATTATCCATATTTGAAAATGGAAAATTCCTTTTTTTATTTCGTAAAAGAAAATTTTGAAACTGTTTTCATCACATTGAAAAAAATTCGAAAAAATTCACAAAATCAAGATGAAAATAAAATTATGAAACTTTCTCTTGTAACAGCTATACCAGTTATTTCAATAATATTATTCTTTTTATTACAATAATTAACACTTGCGATTGCACGTGAAAAATAAACAGAACACTATTGGTTTGCAACACATTAATCTTTCGTCATGAAAAAAAAAAAAAAAATAAATACAGACTTAACACAAATAATCGTCTTATGTCAGTGCCCAGTTACATTTCTACTTAACATAAAATTTTCAATCCCGTATCTTATACGATAACCGAATCATCGTTATTCGACACTTTTGGCCCCAAACTTAAAATTATTCTTGAAAATTGAATAACCTCGAGTCTTCGATGCTTCGAGAAACGGGCGAAAAATTTTCCACCATATATCCTGTTTCCGCCAACGATATAACACGCGCAGTGCACACTTAAGTTACTTCCTCCTCGTGCAAAGAGGAGAACGTTGTAAAAGAAAACATTTGCCGAGTAACCTCTCCCCCCCACCCTCCTATACGCGCCATATTAAACCTATCCTCTATGTATTCTCTACCTTAAAAGATAACGACCTCTGCCGGTCGATCGTCTTACTAACTAAAAACGTGACGCTGCATTTCTCTCCCTCCCTCATCCGTCCCTTAGATAAATCGATCCTTTTTTTCTTCGTTATTTTTATACCTTTCTCTCTCTCTCTCTCTTCTTTTTACTTTCGTTTCGCCAAAAGAAGAATCCGATCGATCGACGCGCCGTGATCTCGGCTCGTGATATGGTTCTAACCATAAAAACTTGTGTAATTACCGTAATTTCGTCAGCTTTACCCGATTTATTTTTTTTAATTAGCTAGTGCCTACGAGCTACATCGGTAAAAAAACCTACGAAGGCCAGGGGAAATTCGCGTTCGATCATTCACGATCACCCCCCTCTCCTCCTCTTCTTTCGCATCGTCCTGGAAGGAACGCACAAGCGGTTTTCCCTTTCTTGAGAGAGAGAAGGGGAAAAAAATTCCCTTCGAGGGTTAATACTCCCTCCCTCCCTCCCTCCTTTCCTTCCTTCCTTCCTTCCTTCCTTCCTTACTTCTTTCCTTCCTCTCGAAACGGTAAACCGTTCATCTTGATCGGATCCACCCTCCATCCTTCCACTGTCTGCTTGATTTTCCTGCCAGTCTGGAGGAGTAGCAGCACTCGTACGGAAGGAATCGGAGGTTTGCCTGCCTCTCTCTTCTTGTCTCTTTATTATAGGCAACTTTATTTTTCGTCCCTCGATTCAGGCGCTCTCTTAAGGAAACGAGATCTCTTCCTCTCCTTCTCCTTCTTCTCTTCCTCTCGTTTTTTTCCAAGATTCTTTCTTTCCACGGTGGTCGTGCGAGCATGAATTTCTCCCGACAGTTATCAGAGAGGCTAGCAAGAGCTACGGACACGAGCGTACGAAGCCAAAGTATCGATTGTTTCGCTTTTTCTTTTTCCCCCCCGTTCTTCTTTAGTATGTTTTTTTCCTTTTTTTTCTTCTCTCTCTCTCTCTTTTAATCGCTTGTGGCCCGGACGCTCGACCGATCTCGTTCAGTGATTCGCGTCGAAGGCGATCATGTATGTATAATATATATATATATATATGTATGTATAGATTTTTTTTTTTTATACACGTGTACCACCTTTTGTGTTTTGTCACCCACACGGTGTCCAAGATTAACGCAGATTAGAAACTGTCGAATTTGTTAACCGTCACGAGATCGTCGTCCGTTCGATTAGAATCACCTGTATATCGCGACGATCGCCGTCAGGGTGACGATCATCAGGTACGTCGATCGAGTAGGTACGAAGCCCCGGTTCTCTTCCATACACTGACCTGAAAGTAGAAAAAGAGAAGGAATTTTTGGGATGATTTTTCGTTTCGAAAGAACTTTTTTTTTTGTATATATTTTTTATTATTATTAAATTAACTTTTTAAATTTAGCACTTTTAATGTATCTTAGGTTAGGTTAGGTTAGATCGTTGAATTATTTTCGAGAAGCTCAATTTATGGATATTACGTAATAAAAGATTATACTCTTGGCTTACTGGAAAATGAACGAAACGAAAGATTATAATAATAATTTTAAATCAATAGACTCAAAGATTTAAGAAGTATATTGATCGAGGTTAGATTCACATTTCAACTATCTAGTCGCATTTAACATGGAAAAAATATCGGGCAAAATTGGATGTATAAAAAATTGATCGGTATCCTGAAACGAGGTTCAACTTGTTCTTAACCCCCTTAAACATGGATAGGGTAAAGTGGTGCCATTTAATTCGACATTTATCAACGAGTTGTCACAGTACATTTGTCAGGTGAAGTCGTCTACGTGTCGTGGCAAATTATGCGTGGCTGTCGTGCACCATCTGCTACCAGAATTTAACTGACGCGGTGGATGACAATTGCTGACGCCACGATTTTGATTGGACACTGCAGTCTGTCGCCCTGTCAAACTGCATTCCCCGCCACGAGATGGAATTTCGCATCTCCCGTCTCTTTTTCACCGATGGGAACGGCGCCGTCGATAAGTTTTCCCGAGGAGCGGCGTCGGATCTCACCGTCGACCAAGCGTAACCTTGATATTTTCCACAAAAGTCTGGGAGGGAAGGAGATAAGGATTTCTCTGTTTCGAAAAGTTGGCAAAGTATTTGAAAAGCAAATCGGTAGAGATTTCTCAATAAGCGTCGCCAAGTCGTGAAACGAAGCAACGAAGGGGCAACAAAACTCGAGGATTCTCGGTGAAGTGACAAGATAACAGTTAAAGTTCCGAGGATGCTTCAACTTGAAGCACGACTCGAAGCACTGTGCACAGTCTGATAACGTCGAAGAAATCGTGCAACGAGTACGTAATATAAGTAAAAGTATTACGTAACTACGTTTTATTAGTATCTTTCGAAATATACATTACAACTAGATTTTTTCCAAGAGTCGGTGACACCGAATAACAGTATTAGGATTGTTTATCGACCGAGTATCGAACGTGGTGCCATCTGTAGTCTATTAATTTCTCCAAAAGTCTAACCAAATTTGAATCCACACAATGTACCGTAACGGTGGTACTTTATTATTAAATTGTTAATTAATGTATTGTAATTAATAAAATCGATTTTCACTTGACTTTCAATTTATGATTCGAAGATGAAAAAAATTTTTTAATAACTCTTCGTTAATAATCTCATCGAGAAATCCATAGCACGTACGTATGCTGGTGAAAAGCTATTTTTCCAACGTTTATGATAAAATGTGCTTGTTCATACATATGATGAAAAAATCGTATCTATGACTCAAATCTTTTCTAACAAGCCTCGACAATTCGTTCAAAAGATAAGACAAACAAAGGAATACGAGAGAAATAGCAAAAGATAACACCATCTCTACGACTCTTTAAGGGGGGAAAGGGAAAAAAATAATCGAATCAAGAAAAGGAGGAGTGTCGCGTCTAATTCCTTTCACGATTACTGTTCCCGTAAATCTCGAGACGGAGCGCTCGAAGGAGGAAAAAGATTCTTGCCTAGTTGCCGGAACAAAACAGTTAGGTTCGTTGCAGCCGAGACGTTTCCTCGAAGGTCTTAAGGATCCTCGAGAGTGAAGTGGCCGAAGGTGAGGAGGGGGTACTCACCGGTACTGGTAGCATTGAAGGCCAACATTGGCGGGGGTGGGGGTATTCCCCTCTGGCAGGCCACCTCGCTGGCAGTCAAACTGACAACACCGCCGCTCTCTTTGTACATGAAGCACAGTCTACGGCTGTTCCTGTACGGTTGGGGCCTGTTGTTCTCGTTCGACCAGCCAGTTCCAGGTGCCAGTTGGGTAGCGATCACGAATTGGGTTCCCTCGGCGTCGTACCACCTACCGTGGCAGGAGTAAGCTGCGAAAGAGAAAGCAAAGGCTTCTTTAACCATCTGAAGAGTGGGGAAGGCGAACTTCTCGAATAATAGCGCGGAGAGACGGTATCCTCGAAGTCGCTCGTTAACCCTCGAGTGCCATTATTCTTTAAATAAACTTTGACGAGTTTCGACGCTGAATGTGAGGCGAAATAAAAAGTTCCATTCTATCGCAAGAATTGACAAATCTTTGACGTGACGTTTAATACCGGGTTTAATTAATTCTGAGAGCCAGAACAACTCGAGTTCTTTCTTTCTCTCTTTTGTTAATTCGAGCAGAGAAAGCGAGCGACGATTATACGTTGGCGACAAGAATCTAACTTTTTCTACACCAATTTTTTCAAAATTGATCCTATTGATACATTTTCGAAAAACCTTGATTTTGATATACATTATATAATTTACTATATACAGATATACATAAATTGATTATATAAAATATAATGCTTTTCTGAGAGTATAGTATATTGATTTTAACATTTTTACTTGCCTACAACAATCAATCGAAGAGAAACTTTTCAATCAAAGGAATCAAACTCGTCGCAACTGAAAACCGACTGAAGAGCACGATCAAGATCATGGGGACACGGACACTCACCAATAGCATTGTCGTCGACGCAATCCGTCTGGAATTCCATTCTATCCGCGGTGGAGCACCCAATGGTGATGGTGGTAACCTCCGAGCTGCATCTCGACACATCCTCCTCCCTCTTCTCCCTTTTTTCGAACGACCCGGAATCCAACTCCTCCGCGTTTCTCCTCCTCCTCCTCCTCCTCCTCCTTCTCCTCCTCCTCGTCAAAATATTCGACGCCTGGTCCCTGCCCGACCTCTTCTTGGGCAGGTCGGCGGTGTCCGGGTAATCGCCGAAATAATCCTCCTGCACCTCGAGCATGCTCGACCCGTCGCTGTCCTCGAAATCGGTCGTCGTCCAGAATTGCCTGATTCGCGCGGGATCAGGGTCCATCCCGAACTCCTCCATCTTCCTCCTCGACCTCCTCTCTGCGATTTCGCGCACCCTTCTGACCTTGGACCTCGAGCCCTGCTCCTCGGACTTGCTTCTCGTCTTCGATCTCGAGCGATCACGCAACAAATCCTCGATGTCCAGGCTCCTCTTCGAGGACGCCTCCTCCAGGCTGTGCTCCCTATGGTTTCGATTGTTGCGATTGTTCGACCTGGCACGCCTGCCCATACGCTCGTGGACGAGGTACTCGTTGTTGGCCACCCTCCGCTTCTCCACGTCGAAGTCGAGCTTCCGGCCCCGTCGATCTTCCTGGGTACGCTCCTGGGCGTGTCGAACCTTCTCCCTGTCACGCCTCACGACAGCCCCCCCCTCCTGGTGCTGGCTCCTCCGGCTCTCGCGAATGTTCCGCTGGTTCCGGTTCACTCCAGTCACCGTAAATTTGCCCAAGTATGGGCACGTACGCGGCTCCGGGGAGCTTGCTGAAATTTCCAGAAGAAATCCAGAGGGTGAGAGGGGAAAAGCTTTTTTCCAGGAGAATAAAATTATTTCTCTTTTTGGTTTTTTTTTTGTTTGGCGTATCTAGGGGAAATTTATGACGAAGATACTATATGGTATATGGTTTGGAATATGAATAATTTTGCGCGTGAGTTTTTCGTTTTATATATATATAAATGATACAAAGTGTTTCGTTCTATTGGAAATTTATTTATTTATTGAAGTTGTAGAAGAAGATGTAATGCCTCGTTTCTTTTAATAACATGTCTCGTTTTGATTTTATAGGTTATGTACGAATAGTTTTATCATTTAATATGGGTATGAATTATTAAAATTGGATAAAAAAAGTCTAAGATTTCTTGATTAATTTATTTACACAAATTAATCCAAATTATAGGATATCTTCGAAAACATTCTATTCCAAAATTAAAACACATACGTACAATTCAAATTACTTAAGAAACAAACTTCGAGCATCGATTCTTCAAACGTGAATACACTTTGACACCTTGTATAATATTTTTTTGCAAATTATGTATCGATTAAATTATGAATATTAATCAATATTTGTTTCTATTTTTTAAAATATTTTTATAAATTTTTGGAAAAATAAATCGAAGTCATGTGGAGTGAAGAGATTTGGGAAATAGTACTCGATATCATCCCTTAAAATTTTAAATTGACGTATCAATTCCTCCAATTTGGAATTGACAGTTTAATAACAAGAATAGACTCGTGACCACTGTTAGTGATAGCCGGCGTGGTCTTTGAAAAATCTCGGAAAATATCCCGATATTAAATGTCTAAAAACCATCGATACTCTGTCAAGATGGCTCTTGAATCGATTAGAACCTTTTCCTGGCACCACCATCAGCGACATCTCGATAAACCATCTGTCTATAAACTTTCGATCCCTTAAGAAAGAGGCCAATAATTTACCAAGAGACGTCGCGATTAGAGATCAGTTGAATTACAAATTACAATTGTACAGCTTGGAGAATCAACAAGAAACTTGCGTCTATCGATCTTCCCTAACGACGTTTTCTTGTCCAAAGATCGATCTTTTGCAAGAAGGATCGACGAAGAAACACTTCTCTGAAATTCATGGCATTCCTTCTTGCGATACCATAGATAGACCTATCTTCTTTGAAACTATCTTGATGGAATTTTTTTTAAATATTAATTAATATTCCTTGTACGAGGAATGTGATAATTTTATGCAGAATTTATGGTAATTATTTATACGGAAGAAAAATGACGACCTTCTCTTTGATGATCTTTTCCTTGTACATATTACTATCAATAATAAATTAACCTAAATTCATATTTCTTTATCTGTAAATAAGGAGGTATGATTCTCTAAAATTAAAGTATTATCGAATCTAATCTAATCTAACCTAACTTTACACAAATGTATCAGGATACGTTAAAAATATTATTGATCCCAAAAATATTTTTTCCTCTTTCAAAATCCATTTTGAAATTTAATCCATAAAACTCCATTGAAGCTTTTCTGCTCTCTTGCAAATCAATCGAAGTCCAATCTATCATTTTTTTCGAAACAAAATATCCAGAAAAAAATCATAACAAAATAATGCATTCGCTAATTAACAAAGAGGAAAAGCATCACAATTTGTAATAATAATCGGAATATAATCAGAAAATGCTCGAAGCCTACCGGTGACTATTAATGGAAGCTCGTTAGACACCAGAAGAAGAAGGAAGGAACGAGCGGTTCGCCAATGCGACGGAGAAGGATAGCGGAGATACCATAACGAGAGATCGGGGCATAGCCAGGCACAATGCGAACTCTAACGAGACAAATCTGACGTCGCACCCTCGGGCCAGTCCTTCCTCCTCGGCAACAACTCCTCCCTCTTCTATGGCTCACGACAGAATTTCCAGGATTTTCCATCTCCATCTCCGTCGCTTCATGGCGGCACCCATGGCGAGCTATTATTTTCGGGCTTAATGAGGCGGCTCCGAGTGGGCAGGGATCCAAGACGGTGAACAAACATCGCGGACCTCGACGTGACGGAATATTTGTTAAGCTTTGGCGCCAGCGTCGAGAAATCATCGATTTTTCGCCTTTCGAACTTCATCTCGACGCCCCCTCGAGAGAAAAATTCGAACCACCGTTTGCCTTCCAGACGAAAGGATATATAATCCTCGTCGATTCGAGTGAACGTAAGGCTGTCTTATTTATCTTTGGTCTTGTCTTTTTTTCGATCATATAAATCGTAGAATTTGTATTATTTGTTAAGAGTACTTGTTTCAAAGTACAGTTGGAATGTACATCCATCTTATGGAATTATCGTATTTTACAAATTTGTGCAAGTTATTCGACTAGTGTTTTATACGTTTCGAAAATAATTCGAATAATTCCAATTTTTTTTCACACGTTCACTCTATCTTATTTTTAATTGGACGTGCATTGCAAGAGGCTTGATTTCTTCGACTCGTTAAGCGATTCTCCATACGAAAAATTCCGTATCAAAGGTATGGATCCACAAAAGGATGGAAGCCATCCTTCTCTCTCTCTCTCTCTCTCTCTCTCTCACCCTTTTTGCGTTTCGATCGAGAGAACAAATCGTGAACTTCGACGATCGTTAATTACGTTCGTCGAGGGAAAGTTTTGACAATGTATTGCGGAATTGGTGCCGGTGCCACGGATTTCAATGGCAAAGTAGCAAAGTTCCACCAGTGACTGGTTGCCCCTGTAACTTTCCACTTTTCGTTCAATTTCACCGGGCTTTGTTAACGGCCGGTGTCGTAAAACGCGGCGTACTTAATATAATCGAAATTTATTAACGTTTCCGTATAATGGAAACATTAACAATACCGTTTCGATTTCTTTCTTTCTCTCCTGTAATTCGACGAATTGGATTATTGTTCCCGGCCTCCAATTAACACTCGTGACTCGAATTAATATATTCGGATATATTATGGCGTGCGAGAGATTGTTAATCTGACAGATTGTACGTGTGTATCATTCCTCATATTATTTCCTTTTTTTTTTTTTTTAACGGTTTTAAGTAACTGATTGTTCGTGGACGTAAATTTTATTTATTCAACGAATTTTACTTGAAAAATGACGCTTTTCGAAAAAAACAAAGTAAATTGAATTTCATTCAATTTGTTTCAACATTAACGCTATGATAAAATAGAAAATAGAACACTAAATCTCTTTGTCGAGCAGTTTAATTGCAACTTTAAACTTATTATCTATTTCAATGTTGATTTCCATTTAATATCCCATCAATATTATAGCCTATTAATAGAATAATAATATAATACATACGTGTGATATAATTAGTGCAATAATGCAGGTCTAATCTTGGTATCGCGAATCGATAAATAAATAATCTCTTTATCGAGAGGATGCGAAAACACGTTCTACCTTACCGATAGAGGAAAAACGCCAACCGCCAAAGAAAAAATACCCTAGATCGAGGAAACTTAAACCTCGGATCGACAGAGAAATTCAAAATTCGAAGGATTCGGTTTTCCAGTTTCGTTCAGGAAATCGAGACGCGTTATATCGTTATGGCGGGCTCCACGGACACGGCACTTCCAACTTTTTAATTAATCAATCGGGCGACGGCCGCGAACGACTCTTTCTTTGTCGGTCGAAAATGGCCGACCGCAGATCTGATCGATCACGAAAATTCCCCCCCCCCCCTCTCTCCATCCACGTATATTCATCGTATATGGATGTTGGGCGCCACATACGCGTATCTCGTTGCTCTTTTCTGTTCAAACCGTCGAAAATTTAATTACATGATATTGGCTTTCCACGAGGATACTTTCTGTGACAATGTCCAAAGCGTGGAAAAACGCGGAATGAAATTTCGCCGACCGTGGTCCGACCGCAATTTGTGTTGCCGGGGCAATAACCGCAACCGGAGCTTTCAAAAAGTCGGAAACATCGAGGATATTTTTTTAATTTTCTTTTTTTTTTTGATCTTTTATCTCTCTCGTTTCGACTCGTGAGACGCGAGCTTACGGCGAGAGAAGTGGAATGGATATGGGCTGGGTTTTGGGATTCTTGGAAACGTCGTATCGCAGTGGTAATTATTATTATTCCCTATATTTCTTCTTTATAGTGTTGCTGCACCTTCTGATTCGTAAATATTTCGCGTGCTTCACAACATTGTTCGCAAGTTTTTGACCGATTATATATATATATATTATTATCGCTCTCTGGTTCGAAACATTTTTATGATTAATTGTTTTAAAATTCTTTGGAAGAAATTCAAGCATCAACAGGAATTTACAGGAAATACTGTTTCATTTGATAATAATTAAATTTGAAACGTGAAGACGACGTGATGCTCGTAATACGATCAAGTTTCATTTGGCACGCTCGTGAAGTTCATTCGAAAGTTTCAATTTTCAAAATTCTACCGCGTATCCGCAAGAGTAAGTTAAGTTAGCATCGAACAATAAGCGCGCTAAATACTCTTCCTAATTTCATTTTTATCACTGTTGAGGCTCAGCCCACACTTGCCTTACGATCATTCTCCTTTGCGCGTGTTCCTTTCCCCCACCACTCTCTGCTACGCGTACGAAAAACCGTTGGTTGGAATAATCAGAGTTGTTCTCACGAGTGAAAGAATTCGAAGGAATAAGATTTACAATTTCCTTTCCACACTAGTTTCCAAGCAAGATTTCTTTCCTCAACGTGATACGTCCGTAATAGAGGCAATGCAACAAATAAATATCCCCAACCGCTCTCGCAACAATACGTTATGGAATACTTACAACCGGAGCCCGAAAATAAATCCTGTTAAAGAGCAAACGCATTATTTACCGCAACGCCGGAAAGGGACGATAAATATCCACGTTTCTCTCGTTCCTTCCTTCCACAGTCCCCCGCGGAATAAATCAACGGAAGCCGTACGTAGGTACATTTAACAATCGTCAGCTCGCGCAACCGTGCACCTTTTTCCGGGGAGAGATCGAGGAGGAGGAGGAGGTCCGT